GTGGTATAGATAGCTATGGAGTGTTATGGATACCATTGGAGTGGTATAGATAGCTATGGAGTGTTGTAGATACCAGTGGAGTGTTATCGATAGCTATGGAGTGTTATGGATACCAGTGGAGTGTTATAGATAGCTATGGAGTGTTATGCATACCGGTGGAGTGTTATCGATAGCTATGGAGTGTTATGGATACCAGTGGAGTGTTATAGATAGCTATGGAGTGTTGTGGATACCATTGGAGTGTTATCGATAGCTATGGAGTGCTATGGATACCAGTGGAGTGTTATAGATAGCTATGGAGTGTTGTAGATACCTATGGAGTGTTATTGATAGCTATGGAGTGTTATGGATAACAGTGGAGTGTTATAGATAGCTAGGGAGTGTTATGGATACTAGTGGAGTGTTATAGATAGCTATGGAGTGTTATGGATACCAGTGGAGTGTTATAGATAGCTATGGAGTGCTATGGATACCAGTGGAGTGTTATCGATAGCTATGGAGTGGTATGGATACCATAGATAGGTACGGTTAAATATAGTGTATATGTTTGGAATCCCTCTGCTTATATTATGATTGGACTATTTCGGTTGCTCATATATCGAGAAAGGGCCTCAATTTTGTGAGTCTTTAAAGTTCTGTATAGGGTTAGTTCAGCCGTCTGCTATCTAGCCTAGCTTCTAACAATGAGGTTATTTATTTTAGGCCACAAGCAATCTATTTTCATACAAAAATTGAGTATGACTACGAGCCTCAAGTATTAATCTTCTACGGTCGCTGTAGTACTGTATATCATGTTTCACAGCCGTTCAAAATGGTAATTAAGCGTTTATTACAGTAATATTAAAGTACTATCAAATAATTAAACTTCATTTGCTTTACTTGTTTTTACAAAATTACAAATCACGCACTATTTGTGGATATTTTTATCTAAATTAATACAAAAATATAAAATTAACCTCAGCATATAGTAAGAAATTAGGCTACGCCTTTGTTGTCCTTGTTGGCTTGGATATGACAGCCGCGTTGTCTAATTTTTTAAATGGCAAAAAATGTGGAATAAGAGGGGGGGGGGGCATAATTTCCAATTTTATTTCTGAGTACGTCATGAATACTTTTTTGGCGATAATTACGTCGTGATATATATTTTTTTGAAAAAACGCAAGGTGATTCGCTGACGATTCAAGAGTCGAAGCTTCCAAGCCAAACACGTAATTATCGAAAGGGTGGATTTTTCGAACGCTATAAAATCTATAATTTTCGGAGCTAAAAACTCAGGCAACAGGGTCCAGTGGAGGTATATAAGATTTACAATAAAGGTCAACGTTCTACAATAAGGCCAGGCAGATGCGATTCGCTCATTCGCATCTGCCTGTCTAGCGCACAAATTGTCACGTAAAAAATGTCGCGCAATTTACATCATTTTTCGTTCCGCAATCCATTACTCAGGCCATTCCGCATGCCATTCCGCAATGCCATTCCGCCTTTTTACATTCACCGATAATTTTTGTACGGGATTGTAGGAGCACTAGATACAATTACCTCTCAAGGTGTAAGCACTCATAAACATTGGAGTACACTGACTTTTCTTGAGTTTCTTCCTGTTGCAGAAAATATGAAGGAAATTATATTAGAAATATTACGAAATTCTTCAAGCAGTGAGGCATCTGGTACCCTCGTAACAACCGCGCCACGCCTATTTAGGGGAATATTTGTCTATTGGGAATATTATTTATTTAGGGGAATATTTGCCTATTTATGAATCTTAATTTGGAATCATTTAAATTTTTGATAGATAGTTTATTACAAATATGTGGCAGCCCGAGAGCTGAATTGCATATTTACAAATTTAGAAAACTAATTTACAAATATTTTTCTTAGATTTCAAATTTAAAAAGCTATTATTAAAAAATAGTTAAAGACTAAGTATATGTACAAAGCATAAATTAAGAATAATCAATTAACTATAGTTATTTTTAATACAATTTGACATTATAAAAGAGTTCCTGTAACGATTAGTTTTCCATTCTGGAATATTAAAATGTCTGTTTTCTCGTAAGTCATACGGAACGTGTTATTTGAAGAAGGAAGTAATTTATAAAGTTTGTTTTCACTACCATTAACAATATGGAATAAAATACTTTATCACACACTAGTTCACTATAATCAATTATGGTCGGAATGTTCGCTTCTTGTACTGTATATAAGCAATGGCCTGACTGTATATAAGCAATTTTTGGACTAATAATCGAAAAAGCCATTATCTGAACGCGTTCTAATTCAAGTTTCAGGTACTTTGGCAATCCATAAAAAAACACAGGAATGGCATAAGTTAGAACAGATCTAATACACGTTATATAGAACTAATAGAAGAGAACTAAATCTTTCGGTGATAATTTTGCTCTTTTCAATTGGATAAGGAAATATAATCGTTTCGAAGCCTTTTTAATTGTGTCATTGATATGATCATTCCACAGAAGGTTAGTTGTTAGAGCCCTCATTGATACCAGTGATACATTACTAAAGAGGTTACCCTACGGAAATAAATATGACTTGATTTGACTTGATTTGATAGCTTTACGCCGAGCAACTTCCCACTCCTGACAACTTCTAAACACTCTCCATCAATAACAATCGGATGAAAAATTTGGTTGGTCTTTCGCAAAGGAAATTCTTATTTCCTTGCACTTGTCACTATTTAGTTTTACTCTGTTTACCGTGGACCAATGAGTTACTCTGTCAACTATAAGTTGGTCGTTGCTCTTATTTCCTTTCTTTACAACTTCGGAAGTGTTGTATTGTCAACATATTTCCACATGTCAGCATTCTGGATATCGCAAAGATTTAAATCGTCGACTAAGACAAGAAATAACCATTGTCCTAGCTTTGTTCCCTGGGGGACCCCGGAGGGCACATGCAGAACCCCATTCTGAAAAACATTCGGGATGGAACATTCGTGAAACATTCAAAAACATTGTGGATGTATATTCATTGAAATTATACCAAATTTCCACACACTTCAAACACACCTTTGACCAAGCAAAGCATTAGAATAGGTCTCTAATTACTAACCATTATATATCTTTAATTTATTAATATTTTTAATGACAGGTTGTTCTTCATCCTTTCCTCTTATTCGCTTATATAACTATTGTAACCGTTTGAAACTACTTGTATACATATATAATACACGCTGGTAAATAAATTTAATTGCTCTGAAGATGTTGTGAACAATACAACGAAACGTTAGCCAATAATGATAATGATAATGATTTATTTAAAGTCGAAAAACGCAGGAAGTGGTCGCCCAATCTTCTGAGCCAGGGGCTCATGTTAAGAGCGCTCGACAAAAAAAAATTATATTTTTGTTATGTCTTGTCTGAAAGTCATTTGCTGGGCTTTAATTTTCATTTCTAAATTACGCTTTCCACCTGGTGTATCATTGCTATTGTTACACTGTTTATAATTGCAGCGCGCCTGGTGATACCATCATTCAATTGATACTACACCAAGTCCAGGTACTCATGCCAGTAAGACAGAGGAAGTAAACCTGTTTTTAATATTTTGTCCCGGTAACTAGTTTCAGATCTAAACGGCAGCGATAGGATGAATCTCGTTGCACTTCTTTGAATCTTCTCGACTTCGAGGAGTAAAGACACAGACTGTGGGGACCAGACTTGCGAACTGCACGCGAAACGACTTTGTTCGTTAGTTTTATAAAGTGCGGTACGTGTACAAGGATCATGCATGTTAATGCAGGACCTTTTACGAACCCAAGCATTCTGTTTGTTTCGCACATACAGCAGAGACTTGTTGCTTCCATTTGAGATCTGCAGTGCTCAAGATCTTTTTGAACAACCCGTTTACAGATGACCGTTGAGTTGGCAGAGTTATCGTTGTTGAGATGGTAAGATGACTGCATGGGTTTGAGATTCCTTGTTACCGCAAATGAAATTTTGCATACTGATTGTACATGATGAGACGCATTGAAAAACGCTTCTAATTTTGTTGCCAAGGTAACAATGTCGTTCCCAGGCCCCTTGCGCCAATTTTATAAAACAGCTTTAGTCATGGTACTGATAAGGTTAAAATAATATCAGATGTATGTGTACTATACCTGTGCATGCCAAAAGTTTACTTGCATGGTAATAATTCGAAAATGACATACACATAGATAAATGCAACTAGTCAAAATCAGTGTAAGGGGCCTGGGAACGACTGTGTTGCCTTGACAACAAAATTAGAAGTATTTTCCCATGCATCTCATCATGTACTATCTGTATGCAAAATTTCATTTGATTTGAGCCAATAATAACTTAGCTATGCTTTAGTTTACTATTCAATAAAATACTTACCCAACTAATGACGTCACACGTTCTGCTGAATCAGCAATTTATATTTTGCACATTTTTGCGTATAACTTCGGAACTAGATGAGATAGAATAGAGCATTAAACGGCCAACCGGCTTATTTTTTCCATGCTCTTTCAGATGAAGCAATAAACATTTTGGTTGCCAATGTCCTTTAAGGTTCATGCGCCACGTCCGATACTATTGAGTATTGGCTGATTCCATCCAGAACACATTGGGGATCTTTTACGTCATCTGTTGTTGTTATGGCATGACGACACTTGGTATCATCAGTGAACAGTGCAACAGACGATACAGTGGACTTTTCAGCCAGATCATTCACGTATACAAGAAACAATAAAGGGCCAAGGATTGAACTCTGAGGAACACCTGATAGAACTGGTATTGGTCGTGATATTTTGCCTAAAATGTTGATGGCGAACTGTTAGATGGTTTTGAAACCAGCTCAGCAAGTTTCTGGAGAAGCAGCAGCTGATGATGATTAACCCTGTCACACATTTTAGCGAAATCGAGATAAAGGAAATCAGTTTGGATTCTTTTGTCGAGTGACTCGCCAAACTCGTGTAGAACCTGTAGTAATTGTGATGTTGTAGGCGTCCCCCAGAGAAATCCATATTGGAGGTTATACAGCTCACTTGAGACATGATTAATCAATTGGTCGAAATGCAACGCTCGAGGACTTTATAAAGGAAAGGAAAGGATAAAGGAAATTATAAAAACCTTTTCAAATTTTTTAGCCACTTGAAAAAACAACGTAAAATAACATTTATTAAAAGAGCAC